TGTGTGTGTGTGTGTGTGTGTGTGTGTGTGTGTGTGTGTGTATATGTCTTTGTCTGTGTTTGTGTGTGTGTGTATATGTCTTTGTCAGTGTGTGAGTGTGTATATGTCTTTGTCAGTGTTTGTGTGTGTGTGTGTGTGTATATGTCTCTGTCAGTGTGTGTGTGTGTTTTATTTATTTTCTGGGGAGCGATAGGGATGTTTTTTATCTGATTAGATGGATCTTTAATCAATATTGGATCATCTGGAATCGATCCCTTTGTAACAATCTTTGGCCCCATGAGTGCAATCACACACCAGTTTGATTTACGTGTGTGTGTGTGCGCGTATGTGTGTGTGTGCGTCTGTGTGTGTGTGTGTGTGGCAAAAGCAGCATAAACAGATGGGACCCTGTCCTCTCCCCCTGGTCCTCCATCCTCTAACACCTGCTCAGGTGTGTGTGTGTGTCTGTCTGTGTGTGTGTGTGTGTGTGTGTGTGTGTCTGTCTGTGTGCGTGTGTCTGTTTGTGTGTGTGTTAGTGAGTGTGTGCGTCCCTTTGTTCTCTCTTGTCTTTGATGTTTTTCACTTTTTAGTTGCACACAGGTTTCCATTTTGGCAGAATTTCACAGCTTTTGAACGTGACTTTTTAAAAAGGGTTTTTTGTCTTAAATTAACCAACATTTTTGTGGCGACGACCCTTTGAACTTCTTTCAGTTTTTGTTTGTTTGCTCAAATTTCCTGATTTTTGTTGGAAAGTTAGTCAGAAAAACTCTGAGGATATCGGGACTTTGGGGGAGCGAAAGGACATCGACGAATGAAGATAATACAGTTAACATGTGGACTATTTGGGCCCAAAAATAGGTCTGAAAAATAGAAATTGAGAATCAGACCGTTTTCATCTGCAGACGGAACAAAGAATAGGATTAAAGGCTGCTGAGTGATTCCTTTTCCCTTTGAATTATTACAACTTGGTCCGTCAGGAAACTGAAATTCCCCCCTCCCTTTTTTTCCCCTTTTTTTTAAATTTCTTTTCAATTTTTGGGCCATTTTTCTCTCTCTCGTCGACCAAAGTGCTGTACAGATATCACAGTGAAATGTAATAAGATAAACTAAAACTTAAAGATAAACTAAAAGCTAAAATACATAAACACAAAGCAATAAAATAACTTAAAATGTAAATACAATTTTTAGCCAGATGTCCACCTAGACTTGACTAAAATGGAGAGGAACTGTGTTTTTAGGGCGGATTTAAAAACCTCCTAAGATCCTGCAGGTTGTTCCAGAGGTTATTCTTCGGTTTGGTTTGGAGTCTGGATCTTTCCGAGGGCC